TAAAGCTCAATCAGGCCGAATTTTGTTGGACTCTCCTAAATTGTACATAGAGCTGCGTTCTCCGTATTCATGGCCTTGGTTGAGCGCTGAAACATCGCAGGGTGTGGAACGCGTATCGTAACCGGAATCGCACAAAAATTTGACACGCTTCGGTTCTTCAAAATCCTCAATATTCCTACGAATTATATGCGTGCCTGGACGCATCCAGCACCACCCCACTCTGCACCCACGTCGCTGTCTACAAAGACGCAGGCTAATGATAAACCCATACCCCTCCTTCCCAAGGGGCCAAATATACCGTTGCTGATCGACATCTTCACGAAAGTCATGGATGATGTTGGTTTTTTTGGGAAAAGACCCATGGAAAGAGCTGAGAGCCTTAGCCAGGGGTGTTCCTTATCGAGGCTCAGAAGATGCGAAAGAGGCCTCACTGACGAGGCCCAGGGCGTAGTGGCAGTACAGGTCGTTTTCATAGATGGTGGAGAGGTAGACGGAGCCGGTGGTGGCTGCCTTGTGAGCGTAGTCTGCCCTGCTGGTTCCCATTTTTCAAAAGCCAATGTTGAACTCGACTAAGGAGGACGAACTCAACAAGGCCACGCCACGGTATCAGGAGTGAATGGCGCCCTCGAAGATGAAGTCAACGTTGAAGACTACAAAAAGGGAACATCGCCCATACCAGGCACGATACATTCCTGCAACGGTTTAACTGACGAAAATGCTCAACATAATCGTTCGCGTCCGCCGTCTGAGATTGAGCTTGAGAAGCACAAGCAGCCGGTGATTCGTTATGTGCGTATTGCGTGGAGCAGAAGTTGTGTCTGAGGTCCCTTTCCGAATCCCAGCTTCCTTGCGCACATTCAGTCCCACAGAAGCCCTGGCATTTCTCCTCATTGAAAACTGAAAACAAGCACAACACCCTCAGCCGCGCACTGCGCCCAACCAGCATCGAACATGTCGATTCTACCAAGGGAGAGAGGACGTGGAAGTGACGAGGCAGAGCTTGTGTTGTCCGAGGCGTAGAGGGAAGTTTGTATGAGGGTAGGGATGAAGGTTTGAAGTGGGGGGGAGAGGCGGGGAGAGGCAGTTGAGGCGGAAGACGAGGCTTTCGTGGTGGAATGGGGGCTTGAGGCGGAAGGGAAATTTTGGAGGATTACTTTGGGGAGGGGCGGAGGAGGTTCTTTGCGAAGGCTCTGCATACAGGGATGGATGCTGGCGAGGTGGGCCATGTAAACTCGGATGGCGGGATTAGGATCTGAAGATTTGAAGGGGCGAGGGAGCGCGAAGGAGGGTCGAAGCCATGTGCTTATGTTGGGTTTATGTGCTTCAACGAGTCCTGGTTTACACCGACTGGTCGCGTACGAGCACTGTGTGTGTTTCTAGAGTCGTGGCCTGTGAGCTTGCGCACCTCAACCCCTCCCCGGACACGTCACGTGACATTATCAAATCTTATATTCCAAGATCAACGTTCGACTTCGCACATTTTCTACGTTTCTTTACATATTTGATATATATATTGAGGGGAGAAAATAAACAGAACACAGCCTATTTATTGGACATATGAAAAAAATGGCTTCACGGTTATCCTGATTTGGCTCGAACTTTCATAAATAATGGCAGCAAACTTACCAGAAACTAACCCACTTGGCATTGAAAAAATGACTGTCGGAACGCACCATAATCCAGGTTACGGACTTTTTGAGCCATAAAACCAAATGCAAAAAATAATCTTACTACAGGAGTCGAACCACACACCTTGAGCAATTGCTGTTCCCACAATACAGAGCTCGTCCACCTAGGCCATAAGGACATGCATACATATTTGAGCTAATAGCAATATAATGCCTAAGATCGTGAATGTAACTGTAGTATATTCTCTCTCTAGATGACTATGTGTACACAAAAAAAAAGAAAATTCTGCCTAAATTACATTTTTATTTATTGGAATACTGTAATATTATGCCAACCATGATCATATCGTGGTCTAAGCGAGACGGAGTACTAAAAAGATGGTGTTCAAGGTTCGAAGTGGTAAGTCACGTGACATGTCCGGGGAGGGGATGAGGTGTGCAAGCTTGGCCTGTGAGTAGGCCTTGAGCGGGACTTGATCATCACACGCATCTGAGGATGGCCATTTTATGTTGTAAGAAAGAAGCTCAAAATTCGGGAGACATACCTTTGTGTCAAAGTTCTATGTTTGTAGTTGCAACAAGGCCATGTTAGACGTTGGACGAGGACTCGGAGTGGATGAAGAGGAGTGAGTCACGAGCGCTGTGCGCACGCTGGTTGTCGAACATGACTACTCTGCAACACCATCATCAAGATTTTAGTGACCGCCTCTGCTTCGGCACCATGCAGTTGTTTGAGGAGGTTCTCTACAAAAACAGCTCTCCGTCAACCCAACCCCCATGCACCCTCCTAGTAAGTCCACAATCACGTCGTTCATCTCCTACCAACTTAGCCAGACATAACCAATCCAGTCTAGCCTATTCGCCGTGCATGAGTACCTAAGCCCAGTGAGCCCCATTATCCACAATCCATCATCACTCATCACCCATCACCCCACCCATTAGGTTTTCAAAGAGCAAATTATAAGAACACGGCTGTATTACACCCAGTACGTTCACAATCGTCTATCTACCTCCTACACGTCCTTTGCTCACCGTGAACAACAGAGGAATTTGTCTCTGCAGGTGACTTTCTGGTGTACAAGTTCCCCGTGTGGACATAGTAAGCCATTCCTCCTGTTATCCCATCACGAAAAACTGACTGAGGTTACTTACGAATAGGGAAAAAGAAGATGCCTCCAAATTCCGAACCCATCTGACAAACCATACCTAGTGACACGTGGTGTCCCTAACCTACACAGATGCAGATGAGGACGCTGAGCACCTCCTCTCCTTCATTGACTCCTCTTCCCCCTCTGCAGACGGCGATGAGTGGGTCGAGACACATGCGGGTCGGCAGGCGCATCGAACGGACTCTGCGACGAACGTGGGTGAGATTGCGGATATCCCTGATTTGGATGGGGATGGGCCCCATGAGTCTGAGGAGAGGATCATGAGGGGGTTGGGGGTGTGTCGTTGGGCGGGGGAGGGGGGTGTTGGGCAGGAGACACCTGATTTGAATGATATCCCTGATATGGAGGAGGATGAGTTGGAGGAGGGGGATCATGAGGCTACGGCTATGGCTGCACCCAAAGTCTCAGTTATACCTGCTGCTGCTGGGGTGGCTGATGCTAGGTATGTTGTTGTTGGGTTTGCTGGAACTTGAAAGAGTGCTGATGATTTCTTTGTAGCGCTAATGTGGAAGTTGCAAAGGGCAACCTGCTTCAGGTCCACACATACGATGTCATGATCACATACAACAAGTATTACCAGACTCCACTTGTTTGGCTGGTCGGCTACGACAAGGTTTGCCTTTACCCTTTTCCCTTTTATTGTTTAAATTAGCTAAACCGAAACATCAGAATTGCACCCCACTAACCCCCTCCCAAATCTTCCAAGACACCACGCCGGGAAAACAGTAACAATCGAACCATTCATCCATTCCGCCTCTCTACAAGCCACCTCCGTGCATCCATGCAAACACGCCAGCATCATGAGGAAAGTCATAGAAAGGATGAACAACCATGTCGTCAAAGAACAGCTCACGCAGCGTGGTAAACCAATGGGCAAGGACACCCCTAAGAAAGAGAAGAAATGGCCATTCAGCCGAAAGTCGTCTGGGAGCGCCAAGGTCATTCAACAGCTGCAAGCTGGGGCTGAGGAAGAGGAGGTGGAGGGGATGAGGGTTGATTTTTATTTGGTTGTTTTCCTCAAGTTTATTGCGAGCATCATGCCAACTATCGAGGTTGACTCGACTACATCTTTTTGAGTTTGATGCCACTCTCCCCTTTGTCCTCTGACTTTATCTGGTACCCCTAGGCCTCCCTCATTGCTAAGCTGTCGTTTCTTTTACCTGTATTTTTTTCTATCATTGTTGGTACTTAGAGGTCTTCTTTCTTTGTGAATATGTTGCAATTTGGAATATGTATCTGTATCTTTCGTGTTTTTCTGACAGACTTTGGAGAATGCATAAATCATATGACATCTCACCCCCCTCTAACAACTCCGATCCCAGACAGCCATGATGATAGTTCACCATGCATGTGTCTGTCGTCACAGTGGAAGAGATGGTCGACATCCCCTATGAGCGGCACAACATCGAAGAGGTCGAGAGCTGTTGCTGTCACTGAACAAAGGTTTTTCCCTCGTTTTTCTTCATCTCCACTCTTATCAATCTTTTAGACGGCCGCTTTTTTTTTCTTCTCGCGTGTTGCTGACTTACTCACATCACCTCCTGTGTTTCCAGGTATGCATCCTTTACTCTTTTCTTGTTGTCCAACATTCCAGTCTTGTCTCGGCTGCCCCCTACTTTTTCTGCCATTGTCATGTCATTTTCGGATTTTGTATTAGATACTACAAGAAATACATGATTTATTTTGCCCATACTTGATTTGAAGTGATTGGATTCTAGAATTAGAATTCAATGTCTAGCCTAAGATTGTATGGAAAGGTCCAGCTAGTATGACCTAGTATGGCCTTACATAGTACCAGAATCTCGGACAGCCATGCCAAAGCCATGCAAGAAACTGGTACCATGCAAGGCCTATCACCAGGGATGTAAGTTGAGGTTCCAACCTTGGGGGGTCAACCTTTCATGGCCTATTGGTGCCTCTCATGGCCATTTATGACCTTACGTGGAACCCGAACTTTTTCTGATGTCATTGAACTCCCATACACATACACTGTGAAGACAACTCAAGAGCACCCTCAAGCTGCAGAAGCTTGAGAACATGAAAAGCTTGTGGACTTTAAAAAAAATTACCATCCTTGACTTTCTTTTGCTCAAATGACACAATTAATTTTTTGGGAACAACAAGGCAAAAGGTGCATCATAATGGGTGGTAACTAGAGACATGTGCTGCATTTATGAAATTCTGGGAAGGTGGGCTGAAACTTCTATAAAGCTAAAATCAAATAAATGAGAAGATCTTGGAAGACTTGCAATATTGATACTCACGAAGACGATTGTCTGTAGCAATCTTTACAAGAGCCTGTTTCTTTTGTTCCTTGGTTTTCATATGAGAGGCCTCCTCAATGGCAGTATTGATTTTGGCCATGTCAATAGACAAGTTGAAGTTTTGCATGGCTAATTTGTAGGGGGCAGGGGAATATGAAGGTTTCTGTTTCCACAGAAAAAAAGAGTGCTCTGCAATGATAGCAGTCACTGAGCAGTAAAATAGTAGTTATGATAGAGTGGTCATAAATGAGAGTAGACACACCAATACATAGAAAGGCAATGTCCTTGAAGGATTTGGTATTGTGAATCTATGTAGAATTATGTTGTGGTCAGAATGTTGAATAGCATTTATGCGGTGAAGGTTTACCAAGGACCAGTTGGTATGATTGAGGACATCCTTCACCTAAAAATAGTATTTGGTTCAGTCAATACTAGTTTTGAAAAAAAGATGGGAAGAAAAAATATAATACTCACATGCTATTTGAAGAAGTAGAGTTTCATGAATATTTTTCTAAAATTCTACAACTGAACTCACAATCTCATCATTCTTAGCAAAATGAAAAGAGAAGAAGGCTGAGACTTACTCTCTATTTAAAATATAGGCCATGCTCTTGTCAGCAACAAGCAGGAAGGGCCAGCGAGATCCTGACTTACATTCTGTTCAAAACCCAGAGCATGCTCTTATCAGCAACAAGCAGGAAGGGCCCAGCCAGATCCTGACTTACAAACTGTTCAAAACCCAGAGCATGCTCTTGTCAGCAACAAGCAGGAAGGGCCAGCCAGATCCTGACTTACAAGCTGTTCAAAACCCAGAGCATGCTCTTGTCAGCAACAAGCAGGAAGGGCCAGCCAGATCCTGACTTACTCTCTATTTAAAATATAGGCCATGCTCTTGTCAGCAACAAGCAGGAACGGCCAGCCAGATCCTGACTTACATTCTGTTCAAAACCCAAGGCATGCTCTTGTCAGCAACAAGCAGGAAGGGCCCAGCCAGATCCTGACTTACATTCTGTTCAAAACCCAGAGCATGCTCTTGTCAGCAACAAGCAGGAAGGGCCAGCCAGATCCTGACTTACAAACTGTTCAAAACCCAGAGCATGCTCTTGTCAGCAACAAGCAGGAAGGGCCAGCCAGATCCTGACTTACAAGCTGTTCAAAACCCAAGGCATGCTCTTGTCAGCAACAAGCAGGAAGGGCCAGCCAGATCCTGACTTACTCTCTGTTCAAAACCCAAGGCATGCTCTTGTCAGCAACAAGCAGGAAGGGCCAGCCAGATCCTGACTTACATTCTGTTCAAAACCCAAGGCATGCTCTTGTCAGCAACAAGCAGGAAGGGCCAGCCAGATCCTGACTTACATCCTGTTCAAAACCCAAGGCATGCTCTTGTCAGCAACAAGTCAGGGCAGTCAAATGAGTCCATCCTGATCGGCCAGCAGCATGTCAGGCGCCCATCAACAGTGGGCCAGCGGACTCGGCCGAGCTGTCAAAAATTCGGCCTTGGCAATGACTGGGCCGAGACTCTAAAATAGGCCATGCAAGATGGGTGGGCCGCGAGTACAGAACCCCATAGAGGACGGATCGGCCGACTTTGCCCCTGGCGCCCATGGGTTGTGCCCAATTGCGCAGATCCCATTGTTGCGCCCATTCGTCTTTGATGCAGTTAACCAGAGTGCTGCCTCGTTAGTTTCACTGTGGGGGACCACGTAGGAGAAAGTTAAATAGATATATTATTTACCTGTTGTGGGTTGCGCCCAATTGCGCGGATCCCATTGTTGCGCCCATTGGTCTTTGATGCAGTTAACCAGAGTGCTGCCTTGTTAGTATCACTGTGGGGGACCATGTAGGAGAAAGTTAAATATTTACCTGTTGTACATCTGGCGCCCATGGGTTGCGCCCAATTGCGTGGATCCCATTGTTGCGCCCATTTGTCTTTGATGCAGTTAACCAGAGTGCTGCCTCATTAGTATCACTGTGGGGGACCATGTAGGAGAAAGTTAAATATTTACCTGTTGTACATCTGGCGCCCATGGGTTGTGCCCAATTGCGTGGATCCCATTGTTGCGCCCATTTGTCTTTGATGCAGTTAACCAGAGTGCTGCCTCGTTAGTATAACTCTGGGGGACCACGTAGGAGAAAGTTAAATAGATATACTATTTACCTGTTGTACATCTGTGTTGGCGGCAGCCTCGTTGTTGCGCCTGCAGGCAACCACATTTTTCTTCGCCAACCAGCCAATATTCCCCACCCATTTTCCCCGGTCTTGCTGCGATGCTGCAAGACTTGAGTAGTTTCAAGCTCACTCAAGAAATAGCTGACTTTCTCAAAGCTAAATTCCATGCTACCCTCCATGGAACAGCACAAAAAACACCCTTTCCCCTGCACTGGACACTGGACCTGTTGGATGACTACAATGGGATAGTTGTTGTTTTGGTTGAGGCTTTCAAACACCCAAGTGCGCCACGCCTGCTCACATAGTAATTGGTTGATTGATCTCTTCAAGTCCGCACAACATGGGATGCCACGAGGTATTGCGATACCATCGGCGCCGCCCTGACCAGACAAAATCCTGAAACAGAAGAGAAAATCTTGAATAGGTACCCGCCCATCTATTCACCTATTGTCCATAAAAGTTCGCCTTTTGTGGTAACGGATATGCATAACAATGGGCTGGTTTGGTATTTGCCTGACATCCTTTCAGGAGCATGCCAGGTATGTGACTATGGCCGCTGGGTGTACAATCTCAAACCCTGTTCAGTTGCAGATCTGGAAGTTCCTCAAAATTCTTGAATCAGCTTTGAGGATAGACGACAAGGCTACTACTAACTGGAGGAATCATAAAATGCACTACAGGCCTGCAGAGCAATGTCAACAACTCAAGCCCGGGACTGTGAGTTTATCGCCAGCATGGTTCCAGCAAGGGCATGAGGTGTGAAATCTCTTTGGATCCATAAACAAAGTCTGAACGATCTGCAGTCTTCCGAGTTCAAGCTTGAAGTCAGCGCGCAAATGAAGCGTGGCGCCGTTGGGGCGCAGTGGAGCCTGGAAATGCAAGAGTCATCTGCTTTGATTGGCGCCATCCTGAGTATCATACATCCACAACTTTATGAGCAGGGAATGGAGGCACTCCGCCGCCTCGAGACAGAAAATGGGTTTGTGGATGATGAGGAAGAATTGTACACGGCGCTGAAGCATTGGACTCCCCCTTTCAGCGCCTTGTCAGTGATTAGCAACCGGTCAACACCAGTACACCGTGACACCAAAGGGCGGAATGAGTGGATTGATGTCCTAGTGC